GACTGAGGACACTGATGACCCAGCGTATTTAAAACAAAAAAACAACAGAAAACGCTCTGTATTTAAAACAAAAAAGACAAACAGAAAACGCTCTGCCTGCACGAGCTAAAACCTGCACCCATAACTTTTCGGCTGTCGAGCTATACTCTCGAAAAGGTGTAAGTTTTGGCAAAGATCCACTTCTATTGCACCTCATTCAGGCTGCAGGACTCCAACGGCCGTTGGCATAGTCCAGAGTGCCTTCCGCTACTGAATTGAAGTGTGTGGGCCACGGGGGGTCGTATAAGTAAAATATTGCTTACTCGACCCCTCCCCCTGAAAGTGACACCTCCGTGAATATCCCAATAATATCCCCACGTACCCCTGGGGCACCCCCCAAAAGAAATTGGACCTTAAAAAATTTATTACGGATTTCGACAGCTCTTGAAGAGCGCAGTCAGAATCCGCCAAAAAAAAAAAAAAAAAAAAGAGAATTAGGCTTTATTTTTTGAAAACCGGTTTCCCGGTTGACCCCCCCGGGGCTGGTCCGGCTCCGGTTCAACCCGGCAAGCTGAACCGGCCGGTTGCCGGCCCAGCCCTGCAATAAACTACTAAAACTAAGTAATAATAATAGTTCCCGAAAATTTTAATTGAGACTAAAGTCCAATGGCCACTAATGTAGAGTGACTCTATGAGTCTATGGCCTATATCTGCTGTCTTTTCGGCTCAGTCGAAAAGACTGCAGGTCTGGCGCGCAGTGGTCCATAACGGAATCCCAATTGGTGTCTTCCTCCCTTCAAAGGAGGCCATCAGACTGTCCTGGGTGGGTACCCGTGTCCGATGGCAAGGAGGGGGCTCATGACCTTCCACGGGGGTGACGAGCTTCCTACCAAAGCGGCCGTGGGTGCTCCTTTATTTTGGAGCTTTACAACACAACGCTCAGCAGGTTGCGCCCTCGGATCGGGCCAGTCTAGGCCGCCCGCTTGTAATCAAGGCTCAAAAATGAACCGTTCGTTCCCCCACGAAGTGGCAGAAGGGAAACTAAAATAAAGGAAAATTAATTAACTTAGAATAAAGGAGAATAATTCTCATTAAAAATTGAGTTGCCGCTTACGGTTGATCATCCGATTAATCGAAACAAAAACGGTGGCTCCAGTTGGACGCAGATGAAAATGGCGCTCCGCTTTCTCTTTTCTTTTCTTTTCTTTTCTTTTTCTTTCTTTTCTCTCGCTTTGATTATGATCGCTGTCAGAGTGCTCGTTCCATAACTCTGAATTTAGGGACTCAGCGCGCAGTTGAAAAGATCGTGCCGAGGCTACCATCTTCGCATCCCTGGGCGAGCCCGGCGGCTACCATTTTTGTTCACACAACCGCGTCCATCCAGGCCGTCCATCCGGTAGGGCCTGACGCCCCAGATCACAGATTTGTTACATTCTTTCACCGATCTGGGCCCTGGGCCGGTAGGACCAACGACGGCCCGGATTTCAGATTTGTGACGCTAGCGTGATGCAATCTGGATTTCTGTCTATCCCTCTCGCTCATATTCCTTGCACTTGCCAGTGCATACGGACTGGACTGGTGCTCCCCAGAGTGGATGCGGAGCCAGGACAATGAGGACCTCGGACTGAAATAGGAAAAAAAGAAAAAACAAAAAGGAGTAAAGTGGTGATTTGCCACTGATAGGTATGTTGAAATCACAGTAGAACTGAATAGAGTCAACGATCAGCAAACTCAACCGATCAAACTCAGAGAGTAGCAAACCAACCTCAAGTACATGTGAGTGGACGTGGTTCAGTACAGCATTCATCTTTTTTTTTTTTTTTTTTTTTTTTTTTTTCACTGGTAGCCGCCCCATCTATTGGTGGGGAGCTTCACCTGCTGGAAATCGGGTCCAGCGTTTAAACTTCAATACTTGGAAATTTCAGCATGACGAACAGAGTATTGGAAACGGCATCGGCAACTCCGATGCTTGTTTTCCTTTTGTATTTCCCAAGAGCATTCCTGAGATTGCAAGTTGCAGAACCATGACACAGGTAATTTGCTACTGACCTCACCAATGCAGTTGCTGATATGCCAAGGTACCAAATCAAAACAAAATGACAAAATGGTAATTTACTAATTTCCATGGCTACACCGGACCCAGACTCGGACCTGGACCCGGACAGCGCAATTCCGGGACCGGATGCATGTCCGGTCGGGTCTGGACATCCGGACCTCCGGACACACCCGGACCTCCAAACATGTATGGTTCCGGACGGTCCGGACCAGTAAGCAGGTCTGGAAATGTCCGGACCATTAAAAAAAAAAAAAAAAACTGGAAAAATCCGAAAAAAACTTTAAAAAACTTAATAAAAAGTAATGAATTACTAATAATAATTAAATAATTGAAAAAATGGGTATGTCCAATAAATTATTATAGAGATAGACCATGTACGAAACCCCCAAAAAAACATCAACGGGCCTGAAACCCCCCCCAAAACATTTTTGGGGGCTCTGCTCCTCAGTGGGGAAGGGTCCTGGACCAATTTTTTATATATTTTTTCCCTTGAAATTTGGCAGATCCGGACCTTCGGGACTGGACGTCTGGAGTCCGGACTGAATCCAGACCGTCTGGACGGCGGTCCAGACGTCCGGATCGTATCCATGCTAATTTCCCACTGACCCAAGGGCCTTCCTGAAACTCCTAGCTGGTACCAAAACATGGGAAAATGACAATTTCCTGCTGACTCGAGGATATTCCTGATCCGTCCTCTGTGACATTCGTCAAAATTGGAACGATACAGATGGGACCAGCGCAAGGATGACACACATAAATCGAGAAATGGTCCAAATTAAGAAAAAAATATTCCCGCAGCCCCCCCCCGACAGGTGTCTTGGGCCGCGGGAGAAAGGCTGCAACTTTCACTGAGTCTCCAGACTCTCCACTCTTCGCTTGAACTCATGCTTGCCGGTAGTAAGTACCCGGACTGTTGTCCCCCCGAATAGAAGGGGCTGGTGTTGTTAAAAAAAAAAAAAAAAAGTGTAAAAAATTCTGAGACACTATGTTGTTCTCCTCAATCTCCTTCTTACCATTCAGCGGTGGTGTTTGGTCCAGCTTCTGGCTGAACGATTCCCAAGAACATCCCGCGCACTTGTCGCGAATATCTGCATTGTGGAAGATAAACAGTACAAGCATCAGCACCATGCATGCATTGAACCAAAAGCACCTACAAGCCTCTTTTTGTCGTAGTGGATGTGCACTGCGCGCCAAGTGTTGCCGAGCCGCCAGCGACACACTTTTTTTTTTTCTTTTTTGCCTGGTGCCGCCAAACACTTCGGTCCGGTAGCACTGTTCACTCGAAATCTCTGGATTGCCAGGATTGGATCAAGTTTGATTCTCAAGTTTGCCTGGGCGATGTACTGGCAGTTTAAACCAACAACCCCACCCCACCCCTCTGCCCCTATTGGCGGTTCACCGCGCCCCCCCACCCCATCCCCGCCTGGGGAAGTCAGATAGGAGTCCGCAATAGTGATGAGCTGGCTGAGCTACAGCAAGAGAAATCAGAATATTTTGAATATTACCTGAACTTTTCAGATGTCGATATCATTTGTTTTTTTCTTTTTCTTCTTTTTTAATAGACAAAGGGCGCCGGCCTGGGGATATCATGATTAACGTGAACCCCCCCAGGTAATTCGGAATGATTGTGTTCTGTTCATCTGACAGTTGCTGAATTCGAACTTGAGTCTGGTTTTCAGGAGTTCATGGGTGTACCAACTGATCTAGGCCTGTTGGTGATGTCGATATCATTTTGACTAAGCGGCAAGCCCCGATATCTGGGTTCACTTTCAATCCAGCCTTTATCTGATCGGACATAAGTGACCCTTTTCGTCCAGCAACACGGCCAGGCAAGAGGCCACACCAAATGTCAAGTTGCCAACTATAATATATATTTTGAGTTTTTGACGATGTATTACATATTGTGAGGAATGTGTCCTCATGGGGCCCTGGCCAACATGCACATGACATGGGCTGTGGCCCCCAGCAAGCATGGTGCCTGCCCTAAGTGAAGGCGGGCCTGAATATCCACGAGAGGCCCTTATCTAGCATTTTTCCAATATGGGTAAGGGACAGTTGCAGCACGCTAGTTGGTTGAAGTGCAACGCGAGCCTCTCCCTGGGCTCCTTCCAGAAACAGCAGCTGCGTCAAGCAGTTGAGCCCAGGGCCGGGTGGTTGCACCCTGGGCACACGCAGTGTGAGGCCGACACATCACGAAGTGGCCGCGGGCGAATCAGAATGCAGCATTGTCGTCACGGAGGCCCAGCGAGCCAATGAGGAGACAACCAACACTTGGAGCCTAGAGGCTTCCTGGACGTGCCCAACCAGAAAGGGCCCAAGCCCCGATTGTCGGACAGGGCCCAGACACAGACACTGGGGCCCGACCGGAAGCTACTAGGAGTTTCCTCAGCCAGGCCCACGCAGCCAAACAGGGCCGCGACTTCCATATAGGAAGGTCGCTGGCCAGAGGAAGGCATTCTGGCCTCGGTAGGCAATGCAAATATGCCGCTGCGCAAGTATCTGCATGTGTGCTGCTTGCTGGGGCGCACGCGGGCACTATGAGGTGACAGGGGTGCTGCAGGGCAGCGGGCGCACGGCAGCCATAGACAGGCTGCAGGGGCGCATGTGGGTGATGGGCGAAGGTGGTCTTCGGGTAGGAGGCGCATGAGCGGGTGGTCAAGGTCTGATGAGGGGCGGAGAGAGAAAGTACCTCGTGTAGGTGGGAGGTCGGCATTGTTGTTGATGTCATGTACATTGGTCTTCAACGTCAGAGTGATCCTGTTGCAAGAATATAGATAGGCTAGATAGGCTCGGTAGAGTAGGCTGGGCGCTGGGCGCCAGACAGAGATGAGCGACATCGGATACTGTGTTGGTGGGGGCTGATGGCGATAACATTGGCACACGAGTTCACTGTTTTGCTCTCTGCTTGGTACATGACTATCTGAACATTTGTGTGATTTTGCAACTTGGTGTTCTGTCCATCGCTCTCGCTCATAATCCTTGCAATATTATATAATGAATACAATTTCAATGAAATCCAATGAACCTCGTGTTCATGTGAAACAGTGAAAATAAGTTTAAATAACAAAATAAGTTTAAATAACTAAGCACACTGGCAGTCGTTAGGAACATCCGTTAAAAATTGGAACGCTACACCGAACATGACCATGGCCCCTGCACAAGGGGAAAAAAAAAACAAAAAAAAAACAAAGTACAATGGAAGCAGTAGACTGACCTGTAGATGGTGCCGAGGGCCAAGGTCCCATTTTGCCTCGATTCTTCGCTATGGTCCATAGATTACAAGGATCAACGTCCGGAAACGCAGAATCCAGCTAAGTGGGACCTTTCCCCTGGCTTTTTTCCAAGCTTTTATCAAAAGACGACGAACATAGCAAAAACGTTGAAAAAAATTCAAAAAAACAATATTGAGAGAACTTAGAGAAGAAATAGTGTAGTGAATACAGCTGTACCCCATACATGAGGAGAAGACAGCTTTGAAAAAAAAGAAAGAAGAAAATAAAAAGAAAATAAATAGAAGTCATCTGTAAAGGCTGTAAAAAAAAAAATGGGAGGAGAAAATAATCAAATTTAGCCAGCGAAAGATTTCCGCTGGCTTTTTTCCAAGCTTTTGTCAAAAGACGATGAACATAGCAACTGTATTGTGTTGTATTTCCCCTTGATAACTTGTGGTGCTGCAGAGATGGATTGGGGGGGAAAAAAAAGAAAAAAAAAAGCAATAGAATTAAGTTCAATTAACACGTAAAAACCGTAAGGGGCAAAAAAAAGAGGAGGAGAAAATGTGGCCAGCGAAAGAGAGAGCAGCGGATATGTAGGATGCTGTCCGTACCTTCACGAACAAATGCGCCATTCTTGTAAACAAGCATTGCCATGTAAGAGTGAGGGTCCACTGGGTTTGGAAATACATGGCCGTCCCCACGAGGATTTGGTTTCTCCACCACTCCAAACACCTAATTAAGGAAGATACAGAACAGAACAGAGGCAGACAGCAATCACTCTCTGCTAGTAAGTACACACAGTAGTGCCTTGCCACCACTCCAATTTTTTATTTATTATTTTTTTTTTTTTGGGTGTTTAACAGGAGGGGTAAACGAGACAAACGGGGGGATACGAGAGAAGCAGGGCGCAACTAAGATCAGGAAAAGACAACAGTGGAGAGGAGTGTGAAAAGAGAGGAAATGCGAACAACCGTTCCCGAGGCGAGTAGAGCAGAAGAACATCAAAGAAAGGAAGAGAAGGGGGCAGCAACTAAGTATAGGAAAGGACAACGGAATTGAGGGGAAGGGAAGGAGAAGAAGGGAGAGAGAGTCTCCCAATACAAGGGAGGAAAGATTCAATCGGAAGGCACAAGAAGATCAGGCAAAGCATTCATTACGAGACAAAGGGAGGAGAGGCATAGCAGGTTTCGGCTCCACGGCCTATTCCGCAAAGGTTAGAACGAATCATCACGGGACATGAAGGTAAGATTCACCGCTCGCATTTCCAACCAACCTCTGCACGCGAAAGGGTCAATGGGAAGACAGCAACGTGAAGACAGCGCAAGGTCTACGGACAAGACAAGCTTCCAAGGAAAGAAAGACAGTCAACCTCAAGAGCAAACAACAGCCCAATAAACCGAGCAATTATTACCTTTGCCCATCCTAGTTAGAGCATAGTCGAGGGCGCACAGCAGGTACAGATACTATCCATTGTCCTTAGCGGCCGGTTGGAACTCGAGCCAGAGCCACGACAGTCTCCGAGAGGTCAGGAAGGAGACACGAGAAGCTGATTAAGGACAATAACAGACGAAACCCTCAGACAAGGGAAACATGAGTCACCACCTACACAGGCGATAGTTTCGCCCAAAGCCCCTTCCGAATCTACACTAACTTCCACACCAGCTCACATTACCCCCCCCAAGACAAAGATAGGAAATTCATCACTTCAACCCCCCCCTCGTCTTACCACCTAACCCCCCCACCATGACAGGCTACACCCAAGCCCCCACTCCTCCTTCCGCTCCCATCCCGTCACCCTCCCCCAC